CCCCTCCATACAATTCTCGGATTTACTTTGGCTGCTCTGTAAGCCAAAGCCTAAGCACCTTGAAGTAGGATCTGTTTTCTTTTCAAAGAAAATTGTACTTCTATAATTAGCAAAAGCAAAAGTAATTTGCTGTAATTAATTACAAATCAAAGATCAAGTTGTGTTTGGTCTGGGGTAAATGGGCATCTCTGCGCGCCTCTTGACAGCCGCCACTTTTTTTCACTCAACTGAAACTTTTTAAAGCCAAAATTAAATAATAATCGCCTGGCCCCACCAGATTGGGCTTAATGTGGGTCACAAAACCACGAAGCAAAAAAACTTTAGCCAGCTACCTTTTCAGTGCTGTGTGAAGGCTGGGGCACTCAGAATTGGCCCAGAAGAACGGAAAAGCTTTTTGTCTGCCTGTATCCTGTGTGAGACAGAGTCTGTCTGTGTGTGTGTGTGTGTCGGCATGCGTGTGTATGTGAATGCGTTTTATAATCGAATTAATTAAAATTTTGCACACTGCCTGCCTCTGCCTCTGCGCTGTAGTGAGCTCTTTAACGTTGTGCGGGTACACTGAAAACAAAACTTTTTCTACTTCTAAATAACTTCTCAAATTGAGAGTAATTTAAGATTATATACTATTAATTAATACTGATCAAATTTCCCACTAATATTAATTAAACTTTAGTTTTAGTAAATTTTCTTTGGTTTCTTTCAGTGTATACAAATTTAAGCAAATTGTTTTTATTGATTTATTAGAATTTTAGCTTTCTTTCTCTCTGTCCTTTTAACTTGTTAATTAAATTCAGCTCTCTGATTTTTCTCAGTGTATAAATTTAGTAAGCTGCCCGCATGCTGCAGTTGCTGCTGTGCCTCGTTTACCGAACAGCTCCTGCTTTGTTAAGCGAAATTTCCAATTCAGTGAACTTTTTGTTGCCAGCTGCCTGACACCTCCGCCTCCCTCTAGTTCTCTTCCTCCTCTTTTCATTTGAACTGTCCCCCCTCTCGCCACCTGCCTGGCTCCTTTTTACGCCTGCTAAACAAAAGCTTTTGTTGTAGCCACAAATTTGGGCCACAGCAGAGAAAGACAGACAGACAGACGTATCCATATCAATGCTGGCTGCTTGCCTGCCGCCTGTTAACTGTTGGGTCAGTCAATGTCCTGCGTAATCGTCACAGTTGTCTGCAGCAGAAGCAGCAGCAGCTCAACTGACGTCACCAATATACCTACTTTAATATAGTACAGAATACGAATTAAACTTTTTTAATCAGACAATAAGAGTAGTTAGTTCACTTGGTTAAATAAGTTTAATTGTTCAGTTTGGAGCTAGCTTCAGACTAGTTTATTGTGTCTGCTGGCTCCCTATCTGGCTTTCCCTAGAGTCGAATTAGCATGCTAGATTAGTTATGCTGTGAGCCGACAGCACTTTAGGGAGCGCACAGTAAGCATACGCCACATTACGTATACGCCGTATAAAACCGCCAAGCAAACTTTGCCTTTCATGCCATCTCAACGGTGCGTCTCTTTTTTTTAGTATCCTCTGCCTGTCTCTCAGCTGTTGCTTCGCATGGACTACAACGCGTGCTGCTTAATGTTATTGCCTAAATAATTCATGAATTTCCGTCCATTTGGGTGCTTTGGTTTTGGTTGTTAACGGCGCTTATAAGCCGCTTAATGGATGGCCAAATAAAAGGTCGTCACATCCGCTGCTTACACGCTTACAGTGATACTTATTCAGATTGCACCATAACCTTTAGTCCTTCTCCTTACATATATCCACTATTTACATAGAACTTCTTCAACAATCTTAATCCACGCTAAATCGGAACTCACTGGGTAAGCAATATTTAAGAAAAAACATTTTGTTATGCATGGAAGGCAGCCAAAGAAAGACAAATAGAGAGAAAGGAGGGGAGTGGATGAAAGGAGACAAAGTGATAGAGAGCAATTCGCATAAAATTAACACATTTTAGCAAGACAATCGAAAGAACGAAGAAAATCTCCAAGGAAACCAAAATAAAGCTCGCTCAAAATAGAAGCACAAAATAAATTCAATTTCTACCGTAAGGATACCACATTTAAAATCGCATTAACGGTAAATAATTTTATAAAATTTACCGTTTTGCCACACAACACTTAGTACGCTAACTGTACCCACCATTTTGTGAGGTTTAGGGGTTGAGCTTCTTCTTGCTGTTGCCTTTTCCTTCTCACTCTCTGTCGCCGTCTCTTTCTTTTATCTTGTGTCAATATAACGGTCAACAACAACCAAATTCAGAGAGTTGGCCTTAACTGTTTATTGGCCGCACTAATCACGGACCGGCGAATATAAACAAGACGATGACAGCTGTCGGCTAAGTTGTTCTAGTTCTAGTTGTTGTTGTTGTTAGCTGTAACTGAAACTGTAACTGGTACTGTTGCGGTCGTTGGTTTAGTGCCATTCACTGTTCAATTTGATGTGTTGGAATCGTTGACAATTGTGTGAGGCGTGTCATAAACAACAATCAATCAACGGTACACGCAACGCGACTGTAGCGAACGGCAGCAGCACAAGCAATGAGCGAACAATATGCGAAGTCTAACTGTAGCAACAGCACAGAAGATGGCGGCAGATGGCGTTTGGCTAAGACAACGCACGCACTAAGCACTCAGCACGCAGCACAGTTAACAGTTAACAGCAGCGACAGCCACGACGATTGCAAACTGACTAACAGTAAACAGCACCGACGACGACATGATGACCTTCACCAACACGCACAGCCCAAGGAAAGTGGCCAAAAAAAAAAAAATAAAACGAAAACTTTTCGCACACAGACACACGAACACAACAACAAACCTGTGACGCAGCTGCGGTGCCGACAGAAGCACCAGTAGCAGCAGCATCAGCCTGAACAACAACAAGCAGCAGCAACAGCGAGCAAAAAGGGCGCCTGGCAAAAGCTTTGGCAGCGGCTTCGCATTTTGATTCCGTTTTGTGCTGCGTGCCGAGAGTTGATTTTTTTTTCTCAAATGCAAAATTGCCATAAACTTGCAAAAAGCTGTTCTCTCAAATGTGCGTGGGTGAGTGAGAGCTAATGCTCGTATCCGTATGTGTGTGTGAGTGTTTGTGTAAGGCTTAGTCGCTCTCACAGAGCTTGAAGAGTGAGAGTGAGTGAGAACGCAATGTAAACATAGGAGACCGTAGCTGCCAGTTGAGCTACTTGAATATATTATGATATGTGTGCATGCAAGTGTTAGTGCGTGTATTTTATATTCCTGATAGACAAAAGAGCACATTTAGCGCTTTGGATGTGTGAGCGTGGGCGCATAACATAAAAATGTGAGCAAATCGGAAACATACTTAAATGTGTACTCCTGTATTTTTAAGCCGTACTAATATCGAGTGACTACTCACTATTATAAATTAGTTAAATCTCCAATTAGATTTAATTTAATTTAGTTTTAAGATGGTATTAAAATAGCACTTAATTATATTTTCTATAGCTGCAAGGGTATTTCAACTTCGACATTTGACTCTACTGTTGGTCATTACGTTTATTATTTGCCGCCTGCGTCGCCCATACACAGCACCAGCAAACAAATCAAAGCTTTTGCTCAACAATCTAGAGAGAGAGAGAGAGAGAGAGAGAGAGAGAGAGAGAGAGGAATACAGCAAGCAGCTCGCTATGCTTAAAAGCTTTTCAACCATTTGAAATAACAACAACAATAAACTGCACCAAGTGCAGTGCGTGGGTAGTTAAAAGGTGTGGGTAGAGCTGCTATAAGATAGCTCGCAATTACGATCGTATGTATAAGCAAGACTCACAATGTCCTCCTCTGGTATGGTGGTGCAGGAGGTGCGTACATGTCGCACACGATGCATTGCATCCAGACTCAAGCGATGCTCATGGTCATCGCGTAGCATGACATCGAAGACAGCAACGCCTCCATCAATGCTGCTCTCCCGCAAAATGCGACCGCCGCGCCCACTAAAGCTCCCACTGCCATGCTGCTGGGCAGCAGCATATCTGACGCCCACCTCCGAGAAGGAACGAATGCGCATTGTGCCATTCTCGTCTGTGGTGAGGGCCACTGATTTGAAGCGATCAATAACCGCATCCTGAAATCCGTTTACGCTCAGCTGATTGCCCATGGCGGGCGATACGACGCAACAGACTCAAATTCACAAAGTAACGGTATACCGTTATAGACAATAGCCGAGGTTGGCTGAAATCGCACACACAACGGGCGCTTCTGCACGGCGCCAAGTTGTTTATCAAACTGAAGTCCGACGCGGGCATTCAACAGGCAACAAGCAAGCAGCAGGCAGGCTGGAAAGCAGGCAGGTAGGTAGACAGGCTGGCTGGCATTCGTAGAGAGCGAAACGGGTGGGTGTAGCAGCAAGCAAAGTGAAAAAGAGAGAGGGAGAGCGCGTAGGCCACAGGTGCCGCTATCGCTGCATTGTGATAGTACGAACAAAAACTGCACTCGCGTCAGAACTTTTCTGCCAGGCAGCCATTTTCAGGAACCATTTGGAAGCTTTTAAGCTTCTCCAACGCCCAATGCAATAATGCAAGCCGCAACCTACGCACACACACATGCAGGCACAGTGAGTGTTTATTTATGTATTGAAGCGAAAGCGAGAGCGAAGAGGAGAGCGAAGGCGGGAGCTATGATTAACCATTGAAGCATCTCATATGCCACTCCCTATATATATTTATTTTTTTTCTAAATTAGACCATGTTGTGGTCACTGCTGACCCCAAAATAGACCAATAAGCGATTTATTGATTAACAATGGCGAATTTTAGGGATGAACAATGACAGCCAAAAGTTACGATATAATAATTATTGATATGTAGATAAGAAACAGAAGTAGCCCAGTTTTCGTTAATGGGGGGATAGCATAAAAACTAATATGTTACAATCATGCGTTTTCGACTACATAATACTGCCTCAGATACAAAAATTAGATCTATTCAATTTATTTTTGTCTATGCTAACGCTATTCCGTATAAATATAGCGATGGCGAGTTTTACGTTAAAAAGGGATCAATTTTATTGTGTGGTGGTAAATGAATAAAATATCTATAAAGCAATGAGAGTTGAGTAAGAGGCAGTAAAATGACAATTGGTTTTGCTAAGTCTAGCCATTGACTAAGTAGAACGGCATTTGTTTTGTTTTGATTTCTTCGATTGGACACTTTGCCGCTTTGATGGATGCGTCGACTTGAATTTTCTGACGGTACTTGGCTGAGGCTTTSTTGCCTTCAATTTAGACTTTGCTTGCTTGCTAGTCTTTTTATATTTGGTAGTCACAGGCAATAAGAGATCAACGGCTAGACGTGCGCCTATATAATTAGACTTTGAAACGGAATACAGAGTGATTTTTCATTATTTATGTGAAGGATTGATCAATGCTACTCGCTTGTTCGCTCCTCACCTCTTCGAACATTAACCGCTCGATTGGATGTAGATTTCTCCAAGTGGCAGCTGCATCGCAGATCATTTTCTGTGGTGAAATGCTTCGATCATCACAGCCCAGCCAATATTCTCGCAAGAAATTGTAATAGGGGCTAGATGTCAGTAATACGGGTACATCATCCATTGTAAATCGAAAAACGTAATCGAACCAATTATTAATTTCCAACACCCGAAACTCAAAAATGGACGTTAAATTTTTAGAAATATTTCTCTACGTTGTTTACTGTATAATAGCTGTAGTTTAACTGGCTTCAATTTGTATTAGATATAGCTTGAGAAATTTTGGCCTTTTCAAAGCCTACTCTTCTATTGGAAAACTAGTTAACTGTTCATGATAGTCGAGTCTTTGATACATGGTAGAGAGGTAAGCAGAAACAGAGAGAGGGTTGAAAGGGCGTGACTCGAGTCGTCATAAGTCAAGAGACCACATAATAAATTTTGATCTCTTTCGATTTATAACCTTTGGTCTTTATGAAACACTTTCTCATATATAGACTTAAAGGGATTGAGAGAGACTAGAGATTAAACTTTTAGAAAATATTAGAAGACTGTCGTAACAAAACAGCACATAGAATAAAGGACATTGAGCGCTGGGACTTCATTCTACATCCAACTAACAGTGTCCAACAAGATGAAAGCAACATAAAATACAGCGCCAATGAATCCTAACAAAAGGACATCTGAGTATAGTACAACACAGGAAAGCTCGATGCAGTTGTAAGAAATTAGAATAACAAATTAATAAATTATATTTTGTAATATATTGGTAAATCTTACCCGTTCCAGTTTTTGAAAATAGCTACGCAGGAATTGGACAGGATTGTCCGGTCGGCAGACGCAGAGCTGGACGATGCAGTCTTTGAGGACGCGCTGAATGCCATGCGATTGTATATAATGTTCGCATTCGCGCAGGCTTTGCTCCTCCAGAGTTTTGGCCATCATGTAAGACATGTGTGGACTGTGTGTGCGTGTGCTTGTGTGTGTGAGCTGAAGGTAAAACGTTGAAGCTGAATCGTTGTTGTGGTTTATCTTCTCTCACTCTGCAATACGCAATATGCACAGAGATAGCTCTGCCTGCGTCGAATGTATGTGTGAATGGAAGGGTGTGTGCGACTGTGTGTAGGTGTATGTTTGGCTGTGGTTTCTAGCGGCTGTTGCCGCAGCTGTTGAAATTGCAACACACTACAACAAAAATATCAAGTAAATAACTTATTGAACAGGGGCGTCGAGTGCAACGCGAGCACCACTTGAGTATATGTACATATGCATATATGTTTATATACGTATGTGTGAATATGTAGCCTTTTCCTTTTTGCTTTTACGTTTTGCTTTTGGCACTGTTTTCACTTTTGCAATTCACGTTGTTTAACAGCGCTGCGTTTCGTTGCTGCCGTTTGGGGTTTGCCTGGCCGTTTGTTGCACCATTTATAACAATATCTGTGCGTTTTCGTGTGAGTAAAATACTGTTTTTTCGTCTCGTCTTAAAAACTTAACTAATTTTCACGCACGTAAACCACTGCAGTTGTTGTTGTTGATTTTTTTGTGATATAGTGATGGGCGGCAAGTGTGAACAGATGATTAAACAAAAATACCGAAACACTTATGTCAGGCAGTGCTATCGATAACACAGACACAGCTTAAACTTACAAAACTTCCAACGGATATGTATTATAATATTGCACCTAAGTAAATATTATGATTAAAAACCAATATAATTAATATTCACATTTGCTTGGCAGATTTAAGATATAGAAGTTCAAGCTTAAAAAATACTAAAACTTTATATCGTTTGTACCAATCGATAACAGCTGCAAATTAAAAGCTTACAACACTCTTATTTGATTGTCAACGAAACGCGCTAACTTCAACGTTCTTATTCCTTTTAAAAATATTTATACAAGCTAAAAACATTAGCTATGTGGATGATGCAAGTGAACAGCAATTGCTTGTGCCGTCAAACTAAGGTTAGTTGCTGTAGATGTCAAACAGTCGGAGCATATTTCGAATGCGCCGTTTAACTCGTATATTGGTTTATTGATTTTTCTCGCATTTAGCTAAAATGCTGCACACGGACTCACTGCCCAATCATCAAGGTATCTACACGCCGCTAAGTCAGGCAATGACCGATTCTGAATCCGATGAAGAAATTGAAATACATAACGCTAATAAGCATCGACTCCAGCATCAGCTACASCAGCAACAATTGCAACTGCAACAGCAACAATCGCAACTGCAACAACAGCAACAACAACGCAATCGCATTCGAATACCACCTAATACATTAGCTTTAAAGTCGCCACATACACAATCGAAGCAACAGCAGCAGCAGCATCAACAAAGACAGCAGCAACAACAACAACAATTTAACAACAGCAACTGCAGCAGCTACACCACCAATATGCAAAACACATTTCGCTCAGTTATGCTCAGTGATTTGGGTAGCAATGCCGGCAGCAATGTGGGCGTTGAGTTCTCCAATTTTGGTGCTGAATACGAAACGAATGCGGATAATGTCGCCATATTGGGTCATCAATCGGATCAATCAGAATTGAAGCGGTCGCCCATGTCCACGAAGAGACGTTGCTGCTTTATAGCCTCGCTGCTGCTCTGCCTGTTCGCTGTGGTTGGCTTCGTTTGGATCGTTCCCTGTGGCCCAGCAGATGGCACTGGAGCTTGTCCAGCGCCCATTGATCGTCAAAAGACCCGCAATTGGTTTAAGAACTATACCAAGATCGAGCTGAGAGGAGGAGTAAATGTTGTCGCTGGCTTACGTGCCTGGGAGAACAATTTGATATTTCTATATCGTGGCGATGTCTTTTTCCCGGATTCTCGCCCCAACAATCATAAACGCAATGGCATAATCTCACTGATTGGCAGCTCCGGCGCTGTAGCATGGTACGATGAGACAGTAGATGAGCCCGTGGCCATTGACTGCACCTTACTCGACGTGGACCTCAATGGTAAGCCGGATTGCTTGGTCATCGAAGAATACGGCGAAGTGGGTGCTATTAATTCGGGAAGCGGCGAATGGCACTGGCGCTTCAAGGATCATGCTGCACAGAAGCTAAATGCGTACGACTTTCCACTCATACTGCCCGATATTGATGGCGATGGCGTGTTGGATATATTGCTGATATCCAGTCTCTCRCTAGAACAGCGCACCAAGACGCTTATCCAGCAGCAACAGCCAAAGCAAACGCAACAGCAACTCGAGGCACGCAACGTGCTGCGCCTGCTGTCAGGTCGTCGAGGTCGACCCATCGGCGAGGGCTTTCGCATACACGACTGCCAGAAGCTCAGCCGTCTGCAGCTGAACGTCAACAACAACATCAGCTACAGCTGCACCTCCAGCACAGATCAGCAGCCCCAGCAGCGCTTCAAGAGCCTCGCCGAGCTCTATGCGCTCATCACTAACAAATCGCTGATGGGTCGACGTCTGACGCCCGCCTCCAAGATTGCTCAGCATCGCAAGCAAATGGATACACAGCGCAAYGTTTATCTGCTCAGTGGCAGGGAGCTGATCCTCGAGAATCGTGGCAAATGCCCCGACTGCAATGTCACATTGCAGCTGAGCGAAATGCGCGATGGTCGCCGGCATATGCTGTACAATCAAACGGAGAACGCAATGTACGGCATGGCGCCAGCGCAGTGGCACTTCAAGAACAGCAAGTCAAAGATGTCTGGCTTTGTCATCAAGTTCTGGAAGTGGACCAGCGTAGTCAAGGCAAAACCACCGCCGGCGAGCAACAGCAACAGCGTGGACAAGATGAACAACTACACCAACAGCAGCAGTAGCAGTAGCAGTAGCTCCAAAAATCTGAACAGCATAAAGGAAAAGGAGAAGAACAAGGATAAGATATACTCGAAGACCCAACAGCAACAACAACAACAGCAGCAGCAGCAGCAGCAAAAGAAGCAGCAACAGCAGCAGCAACAACGGCTTAAAAGGAATTCACTCAATCATCAATTTCCCGCCGAGCATGAGGAATTCGATCTGTTCCATCTGATACAAAAACGTGAAACGTTTCGAAATCAGAGCAAACCCGTTGCCGGCCTGATGAAGAACTATAAAATGCAGATGATAACGGAAACAGTTATATTGGTATTATTCATTGGCGCCGATACGCGCATCCAGAACACCTCACAGAGCAACATCATCCAGTTCTGTCGCAGCGATCGCAACGAAATGATCTGTCAACCCGACTTGCTCAATCAAGAGAACTCCATGTTGATCGCAGATCTCGATACGGATGGCTCGCAGGAATTGGTCTCCTACATGTCCACGTTTGTGAAGCCCAGCGAATATCCGTACACTGACTATAAACTGATCAGCTATGTGCGATTGCTACGCATCCAGTCCGAGCTGCCTGCCTATTACGAGCAGGATAAACTGAACTAGGTGGAGGTCGAACGAGAGGAGGAGCAGCAGCAGCAGCAGCTGGAGGAGATGTGCATTTAAAATTCACTACATTAGCCACAAGAGATTCAGTACTTAGTAGTTAAATTGCTAGTTGCATTGACAACATAACGTTTATAATTAACAATTAATAATTGTACTATACTATAATAATAATTATATAAAATAGTCAAACTTTTCTAGTCTCAAATAAAGCACTCGATGGCAATAGCAATTTCTAAATTGGTATAAATGAAAATATTCTGCAGGCAATAACTAAGATACTCAGAATTATTAAAAAAGATGGAATAGAAGTGGATCGATGATGATAAAGTTCTATAAATATCGGAGTATTTATGAGACTGTATAGATGGGAAACAAAATACACGATATCTTAAAAATAAAATATGTACATGAAGARCCTACATATATTAAAATCAAAATATATTAGAAAAAATATTCACTATAGATTCGAATATCAAAATAAATTGAAAAATTTACTTAACAATCAAAGAAAATTACATGTCAAAAGACTAAAAAGTAATAATATAAAAGTTCTTATGAGTCAAATGAGGCCCCAAATCGATAATACTCGATTTGAGCTCAAGACAATTATGAATTCATTTACAATTACGATGCAGTTTACATATTTCGTAACCTAATCAGAATAGAGAGTTATGTTGGATCTAAATTTAACTAGTTACGAAATTTCGCAGGTTTTATTTACTGTTCTTTTTTTTTTTTTTTTGTATTTTTTCTAAAAGAACATACTACCCTTTGATAGGTAGCCTGAGGGGAGCTTAACAACAATCTTAGAATTCCACATCATTAACATAACGTTTGTAGTTGGCCTGAAAATTGGCCGATAACCATTGCTCAGTTATGATCTTAAACTCAGCTTCGAGCCGTTGCAGAGACGCCGTATTAGCCGTTTGGTTTAGCTTCTTGAGTGAGCGATAGTGCTGTAAGAGTAGATGAAATTTATTCAAATATGTATTCATAATGATTCAGATGCCTTCACCCACCTCTGCTGTGGTGTTGGAAATGAGTTTAGCCACTGCCAGAGCCTCTTCGTTTACGCTTCGCGATTTGCAGGTTTTATCAATAAAGCTGCTCGGTGAATCAATCACGTCCGACGTGTGCAAACGCTCGCCCAGCAAAAACAAACGCGTTTGCTGGAAATACAAATAGAAAAATACAATTAACAAAGAAAATTAATAGCAATTATATATTAAGACCTACAACTTGTGTGGCGATCTTTTGGTGTTTGTGCCAGAAGGCATAGCCCTCTGGCAGCTGTCCTAGCTTTGCGTAGTTCGTCTCAAAGCAACAATCGTCGGCTGCCAAAACATAGTCGAACAATGGCAATTGCATGACGCCCAAATTCTTCAGGTTGCCGACAATGCCAGCGATCAAAGGCTTAGGGAATGTAGCCAAAGTGCGGAGATATGTTCTATTGGAAGATAAATTAGATATTACAATATGTATAGGTAGAATATATAGTTCGGATAATCCGCAACTCACTTTAACACCAATGCCAATTGTGTTGCACTATTTTTACGCTTCTCAACCGTGGCAGCCAGCAGCTCCTGGCAATCGATTCCCTGACAGAATTGCTGACCCTGCACACTGAGCAGCACTGTATTGCAATCGTTGCTTTTGGCCAATTTGTTTAGTATTTCGTTGAGCTTTTGCAACAATTGCACTTTGTATGTGAAGCCCGATTTGCCCATCTGCGTATTGATCACCAGTTGAGTAACCTTCTCCAGCTTGTGCAACGTCACCAGCTCCACTTTGGCCGACTTTAGCTCCTTCGCCTGCAATGTTCCCTTTTTAAGATCATTAGCCAGCGTTTGGGGTGCGGCTGCGCCATCGCTTCTTTGGTTCGCTTTATTCTCAGGCTTCAGGAATATAAACGACGGATCCACTGTTGCTGCATCGGACGCATCGTCTGATAAATTAGCCACTGTGGCGGGCTTATTATCCAATGATGAGCGATTTGCAGAGGCATTGCTGGAGTACGAGCTATTGGAGCGTCGGCGCATTATCATGGACTCCTCGCTGGCACGTTGCTTGTACACATAATCCCAGGAGTCGGATGGACGTGGCTTTGCTGCCTTTGTGAAGACGGCTTCAACGGCAGCTGAGTTATTGCCCGTCTCTTTTCGCTTTCCGGCTTTAGGTGGGGTTTCCTTTTTAGTGGGCGTGGGCGTGCTCGTAGGCTCAACTGCAGTTGCAGTTGCTGCTTTTTGTAGCTGCAAAGGAATGTTTTAAAATACTGAATAAACTTGTGCAATTTCTACAGCTTACTCTGCCAGTTAGTGTCAGCGATCGCTTACGCATCAGCGGTTTGTTGGCCGACTCGCCGCCGCTTAGCTCTCGCTGCTCACGCTCTACAGCTTGCATCATATTGGCGGCGCCTTCATCGCCCATCAGTCGATCGATTTCGCTTACTTTCTTCTTCTTGGCCTGGCTGCCTGCCCCATTGGGCACATTCGGTGTTTGTGAGCGACGTTTGGGTGGCGAAGCGACATTCGATTCGGCCAATTTGGCGGGTGTAACGGAACGTTTAGCAGACACCTTCGGTGGCTCTTTCGGCGTTGAAGGTCGTGCCTTTTTTGACACGACTTCCATATTGCTTGCTTTAGCAATTGCTGCTGTTGTTGTACTTGTAGTTGTTACGGTTGATATAGTTGTTTGTACATTTGTTATTGCATTCGGATTGGGCTTTGGACTTGCATACTGCGCAAAGGACTTTTGCGTTTCAGGCACATCTGGATCCCATATAATTTTACGTTTTATAATACGCGTTCGTTTGAAGCCTAGAAACATTATATTCGATTAATTGCCATAACCTTTTTATATAGAAAAGTCTTACCTGTGGGTTCTGCATTGATGATGGGCTGCTCTGCAGGTGGTTTTGGCTTTTCCAGGCTTCTTGGCTGAACGGATTTCAGCATTACCTTTACACTGCCCAGCATATGAGGCACCTCTATTGTTGATTTGGCCTTCTTGACGAGCGGCTTCTTTGAGGCAGGCATTTCGTTGGTAACTGCATTGGAGTTGGATGCTGTTTCGCTGCTACTATCATACTCGTTCCAATCATCATTCAGCGAACTGATTATATCTTGGGGCTTTTGCTGCTGTTGCTCTTTTTGCTTGTTGTTTGCCAACTCTTTGCGACGCATTTTATTAGCCTTCAGATCGGCCATTTGCTCCAGTGCCACAGCTCTGGCTTGCTCCGGAGACAGTTTAGTCTTACCCACAGCAAATTTTGAGTTGGATTTCAAGGCACTTGCACTGCTTTTTGCAGTTGACAATAACTCAGGACTGGGCCCACTAACATTGTCTCCATCATCGATTTCCATGATCTCATATTGCCCCTCACCCTCGATCGTAACACCGACATTATCTAGTTCAGCTAACGCCAGCTCAATGCTGGCCTTTTGTGGCACGTCTGTTTGCTCTTGCTCCTGCTCCTGATCGGTGCCCTTCAACAAAGCAATCAGATCAACTTCCTCCAATGTCGTTGCTGGCTCTGACTCCTCATTGGCATGCGCTTTGATAACAGGAGTGCAACGTTTAGCCTTTCCTATATCATCTTTAAGTTGTCCGTCTTGGCTGCTCGCGCTAATATTTTCTGATTTGCTGCCCGCTTCAGCGTTCCCTTCTGCCTTCTTCTCTTCATCTTGGCCTGATTCTGTACAATGTTGTATGTTGTGCATTTTGGCTATTTCCTGCTCCAATGAGTTCAACTCATCAAGCTTATCGGCTTTTGTCCCACCATCGTCACTCAAAATTTTCTTTTCTTCATGTTTGGATTCTGATGCGACCGCTTTTTCTGCTTCTGCTTCTTCTTCCTTTACTATGCTGTTTGTTTCTGATGCTGTTGCCACATTTTGCTTCTGCTGGACATCTAAATCTGTGTCATTAACTTCGGCCATATCCCAAGTGCTGTTATTTATCTGTTAATGTAGTTACGTTTTTAAATTCCTATGCACTTGAACAAGTTTTTAATATTCTCAGTTTTTCATGCACTTGCTGCAACAGCGGCCATTTTATAGTGATGAATTTACCATTAACAAATATATACGATATACAGGAAATGTATCGAAAAATTTGGTCACTCTTTTAAAGAAAATACTAGCAGTGAAATATCCATATCGATAGTTGACAACGATGATTTTGACAGCTCTAGTCGCTACCCCCCACACCACTCCGATGAATACTTTATAGAAAAAAATCTCATCTGCAGCCAGGATAAACGCTGATTGATAAGAGGGGTAAATTTGTTTATTTTCACGCGCTGTTTAAATAAGAAAAGAAACATAGACAACATCAACTGAGTAGAAATTCTTTAAGCATTAGCGACAAACACTGCAAACCGCTCGATCGTGGCGGCGACAATAGCAACAACAACAACAGCCAAAAGCTAAACGGCAAAATATACAAAAATTGTGTCCCAAATTTTTGCTGGCAAGACGGACGAAAGGATGTGGGACTCCTCAATGTTCTTGAGCACATTGACGCCAAAGTTTTATGTGGCACTAACTGGCACTTCTAGCCTTATATCAGGCCTAATACTTATTTTCGAATGGTGGTATTTTCGCAAATACGGCACCTCGTTCATAGGTAAGTTTTTCTTGTTTTTTCCTCTTCTTTAAATTGTAGAATTTTTGCAAAAATTGGAACATTTTTTATCTTGTAGAGCAAGTATCGATCAATCACATCAGCCCCTGGATTAATGGCAATGATGCGCAATCGGATAATGGCAGCAGCAGCAGTGGTTCCAGCAGCAGCAGCAATGGTGGTTGTGGCTCAAATGGTGGGGCAGGTGGTTCTGGAGCCAATTCCAATTCGGGCAACAGCTCGGGCACACCTGAGTGTAAAGTGTGGCGCAATCCATTGAATCTCTTCCGTGGCGCTGAGTACCAACGCTTCTTTTGGGCCACCAGCAAGGAGCCATTGACATACTATGACATGAATCTGAGTGCCCAGGATCATCAGACGTTCTTCACTTGCGAGGGCGATGCTGGCAAAGAGGAGTATGAAATAATGCAGACGGCGTGGCGTGAACGCAATCCCATGCAGCGTATCAAGTCGGCACATAATGCGCTTGAAATAAATGCGGAATGTGCACCGGCCTACATACTCCTAGCCGAGGAGGAGGCTATGACCATATTGGAGGCGGAGAAGATACTCAAGACAGCACTCAAAGTAGCCGAAATTAATTATAGGAAGTCGCAGGCGACACAGCACCAGGGCTCCATAGCGGACGGTGTGCATCGCAGGGATACGAATGTGTTGATCTATATCAAGCGGCGCCTGGCCATGTGCGCCCGAAAGCTGGGAAAACTGAAGGAGGCGGCCAAAATGTTTCGCGATCTAACAAAGGAGATACCCTCGATCATGAGTGTGCTGAACATACATGAGAACTTGATTGAGACACTGCTCGAGATGCAGGCATACGCCGATTGCCAAACGATCCTTGCCAAGTACGATGATATTTCGCTGCCCAAATCAGCGACAATTTGTTATACAGCCGCATTGCTTAAGGCGCGCGCCGTTGCTGATAAATTCTCACCCGATATTGCATCGAAGCGTGGCCTGAGTCCGGCTGAGATGAGCGCCGTCGAAGCCATACATCGTGCGGTTGAATTCAATCCGCATGTGCCCAAATATTTGCTGGAGACAAAGCCATTGATACTGCCGCCGGAGCATATATTGAAGCGTGGCGACTCGGAGGCCTTGGCGTATGCGTTCTTCCATTTGAAGCACTGGAAACAGGTGGAGGGGGCATTGAATCTGTTGCATTGCACCTGGGAGGGCACATTCCGTATGCTGCCGCATCCATTGGAGCGCGGACATCTTTTCTATCCATATCCGACGTGCACCGAGTGCGCCGATCGTGAGCTGCTGCCGGCCTTCCATGAGGTCTCCGTCTACCCGAAAAAGGAATTACCCTTCTTCATCCTGTTCACGGCTGGTCTCTGCTCATTCACGGCTCTATTAGCCCTGCTCACGCACCAGTACCCGGAGCCAATGGGGCTGCTGGCACAGACCGTACTTACCTGGATATTGTATCCGATACAGTTGCTCAAGGAGCGCATCGAGGCATTCTGGCCGTGCAACTTGCTCCAGCAATTGTCACGTGTTTAATTTAGCTAAAACGAAAGCCACAACGCACACACACACACACCCGCTCTCTCGACACTTACACACAGACACACACATATAATTACACCGACAACACACACTTCCCACTCAAAATAAAATAGGGCATCACAAGGATTAGGCATCCAAAGTTTTGCCCGAAAACAAATTAACTCAACTACAAAAACAAAAACATGCATATACATACTTATAAACATATATAT